TGGTTGCTCCACCAGAGATTCTGGTAACGGCTGAAGGAATGAGTTACATTCCTGATCAAGTGGTGCTACTCATGTTCACATGCCCCTTATTCCCAATATAGCTTGGTTTAGTAACAGTATGGACAATTTTCTGGTACTCTCAGGTGCTTCTGCTTTGTTTGAACATTAATGAAACATGCAAGATGCAACCACTGAGAAAAGGAAACCATGACACTTTGGTAATATGGGCAAGAGATGTTGGTAGCCTAGCATTTTAAAGATGTGGGACACTGAAGGGTAAATCCCCATAAGGAAATGGATGCATTAAAAGCATGATTCTATCTGAGCTTTTAATGCATTTATTTTATCTTTCTGTAACAGCACTGCTACCTGAACCTGCTTGAACTGTGGCATGGAAGAGGTGGCTGAATTGCAAATAGACTATATGATAAAACAATCATATTGTGGGTTGGGACCAGAATTCAGCTCTGCTTCAAGCCGACTCACTGAAATCAGTGAGAAGCTAGTTCTGGCTAGTATAAGCCCCACTGCTTTCAATGGGTCTGCTCTAAACAGGATTAATTGTGAACTTAACTCATTGTTCCACTACACGCTGAAAGAGCCCAGAACTGTTTTGACCCACATTCCCAATATTCTGCCCCAGATCATACAAAGTGGGAGCCAACACTTGCATGGTGGAACCTATCCCTGTCCCCTCCATTATAAAGATGCCTAACCTGAGCCAGGTGCTCTGCAGGAACACTCAGCCAGTCAGAGGTCCAGTTCACTCTTTTTGCCGTACCCCTTTTCTTGTGAAAAGGGAAGATACGTATGGACTGGAACTCTGGGCCATTTGCATGGGATGCCTAGCTCATGCTAAACTGCCCAGCGCAGCAGTAATCTGATCACTAAATAAAAGGGACCCCTCGCCCTTTTTGGTTCATTCATTATGAAATGAGCTGAGTGCAAAGAAAGCAATTAACCATGCCCATATATGAAGGACTACTTGCAACAGGTACACAACAGAAAATAAATAAATATTATAATACCCAAACTGTTTTAGACTAATAAGTACACAATGCTAATTGAAAGAAAGCACTACAATGCCCAGAATTCCCCAGCCAGCAGAGAATCACGCCCTAATTCTGCTTCTTAAAACAAAATGAAACACAGAATCCACACTGGCAAAATCACAAAATGGCCTCTTGAACAAATTGCAAGTACAACCTCATTTATTTGAACATCACTAGCAACATAACAGAGGTTCACAAGAGAGGGTTACCATGAAACCAGGGGACAGATATTTCACTCTTAACAGAGACTCATAGGATGCATCCAGATTATGTGCTAAGCTTTAAGGGAAGGCTGTCTCTGAAAAGGAAGTATCTTTGTACAGGCCTGAGCAAGCCTCTTCTCTCAAGCCACAAACACCATTATAATCCCACAGCGGCTTCCACCACTGACATGAATAGGCCTGGACAAGCAGAAGAATTGTGGACTTGTACGCAAGTGGCATGATTGAAATTGCCCGTCTCTTTTCAAAGCTGTCAAGAGAATATACCCATAAAGTTATCCAGATCGGCCGTCCCCTGTGCCCACTTCCCATAGTATTATACAATACCAGGGGGCAAATCCTTATGCATGCATTTAATACACATCTCGCATCCTCTGACAGTCTTCTAAGGTCATGCTGTTATACATGTTACACCTGCTTAACCTTTCTCAGCTACTAAAGACAAAATGAACATCCCTCTGTCCCAGATCTGTTGACTGCTGTGTTGTAAAACTCAGCCCAATGCAATCTGCTATTAATCAAAAGACCTTTGTCAGGTCCAGAGAGCAAGAGGGAATTACTGGTAGAAGGCAGCCCCAAAATGGAAGAGGACCTTTTTATCTATTTGAACCTCATGTCAAAGAAACAAATATATATTAAGGCTTCATACCAGAACTTTACAGAAATACACACTCCTCTGATGTTACAATAGATGCTGCTCTGAGGAATATGGATGTGCACCCGACCACCTCGACGACTTTTGTGCATAGGAGAATGTTACACTGTAGATGTGAAGGAAACACCTGAGACATAGAGCCAGCAGGGGAGGGCAGCCAGTTTTGGCCCAGAATCTAGATGACAGGTAGGAGGCCCCTACCCCAGGAAGCTCCTCCCACTCCCATGACATTACTCACCATCAGCCATTCCCCTCCATCCAGTTGCCTATTTGCTGTTCCAGGCAGGAAGAGTAAGGGGAGAGGCTCAGTTCTTGCAAGTTCCAGCCAAGCCTCACTGCTCCTTCCTGCATCACTCATGTCCCCATAGGGACATGAACAGTAAGGCCAGGGATTCAATTAGTGCTTGCAAGAGCGGATTCTCTGAGCTCTGGCTGAGTCATGGATAGGGAACTCCAATTTGTCCCTCAGTGAAGATAAGGAGCAAATTCCCGTTTGTGTAGTGCTTGTCTCTGGATGGGGATTCCTTGTCCTGAGGGGCCCCCTTGGAGGAGAAGGGCTTGAGAAAGGGTGGGACTGGGCCTGTGGAGGTGCTTCTCTCTCTACTGGGTAGATTGGTCTTCAGTACATCCTGGATCACGTGCGCAGGCCAAAGGCTGCCCTCCCCGGGACTACAGCATTATCATCATCATCATCATCATCATCATCATCATCATCATCATGTTCTTGCAGCATTTTTGCTTTTCACACTTGGAAATGTTGGTTTGTTTTACAAGGGTTTTAACTGTTCTGACAAGTGCCAAAGGCAGGCCAGAATAACTGCAGGTGCTCTTATTTTCCACAATTGTCAGAGAGAGAGCAACTGTTGCTCCTTTCTTCCACTAGCTCACCCTTTCCCAGTCTGGTGCCCTTCAGATGTGTTGGGCCGCAGCTCCTGTCAGCCCAATCAGTAGCTGAGCTGGCAGAAGTGGAAGTGCAGCACAAGCTGGGGAAGCATGCAGTGCTCTTTGGTAAAATGTAAACTGCTTGTTTTGTTTTGCACTCTCTACTAAGCTGAACAAGTCTGCACACCTTTCCACTTGAATACATGGTAGTTGCTGGGGCTTTTCAAAACACCCAGCAGCAGGTGTTTTGAAATCCAGCATTTTTGCCTAATTCCCTGTTCTGCAGACTCAAAAGGTTGCTCATTCTGTTGTGCCATTTTGGCAGTTTCATGGCATTTTTTTTTACTGTTGCTGCACCAAGTCTTTCTTCTGTGTGTCAGACACAGTTATAACTCCTGGGGACCAATGAGGATAAAACCCTTTCTATTCTCTTGCTAGCAGCAGGAGGTGCATGTGAGCCTTTGATAGAAATCACTTCACCACTTCTTCCTCTGCTGTCCACGGAGGCCATGAACTTCCAACAAAACGTTTTGAGAGATGAAGCCTCTTGAATAATGAGGTAAGTCCATGTGCTAACATTAAAACACCTTAAAGGTGCTTTCTGCATATTCCAGCCTTCCCTACACAACAAGACCACAATGGAATGACCATCTAATTAGTTTCCTGAGTACATATTGCCATGGAAATGTCATGGAAAACATAGAGAGGGTAGATAAACTCTAGATGTTGCTGCTTTACAATGCCAGTCATCCCTTATCATTGGCCATGGGGGAGACTGGAGCCTAATTTCACACATGTTGGAGATTGTGAGTTGGTTTTTTAATCAGATGGAAGGCTACAAGTTCCCCACCCTGACCCAAGCGATCTTTCTGCAGCAGTGGTCACTATCACATGGAGAGTCTCCATACTTTCAGAAGTGACTGCCAAGGATATACAGCATGGGCTCTCTCTCCAAATGATGGTAATCATGGAAGACATAAGAAATCTGCTGGGGATGGAGCCATAGTTCATTGGTGGAGAACAGATCTTGTATCCAAAAGGTTCCAAGTTCAATCTCTGTCATCTCCGGGTGACCTGGCAGGGACAACCTACCTGAAACACTGAAGAACTGCTGCCAGGCAATGTCACCAGTGCTGGGCCAGATGGACCATGGAAGACAGCTTCCTGTGTTCATAACTGAATGGTCCATTTAGTTCAGCATGCTTTCCCACAGTGGTTAGCCTGATGCTTCTAAGAAGTTCAGCAACAAGGCATAAAAGCAACAGCTCTTCTCTGCTGTTGCCCCTCAGCAACTGGTACCCAGAGGTATGCCTCTGAACATGAAGGCTGCCATTTAGCCATCATGGCTGCATCCTCCATGGCTTTGTCTAATCTGTGTTTAAAACACTCTACACCAATAATTAACACTGCATCATGTGGCCGGAAATGCTGCAAGTTGATTCTGTGTCGCTTGAAAGAATACTTCTGTCCGTCTACCCTTGAACCTCCTGTTCATCAGTTTCACTGAGTGGTTACTGAGTGTTGAGAGGAAACAAAAAACAAAAACACCCCCTTCATCTGCATTCTCTACACCATGCATAGCTTTATAAAGTCATCTATGTTATTCCAATTGTTAAGAGTTGGCAGAAAAGGAGTCACAATTCCCCAGGTTTTCTTCATCAGCTTTGGATCCATTTAGAATCATTCTGGGCTACATCAGCTAGGTTGCTGGTAGCCCCCATGGTCTCTGTCAGACAGTTGTTGATAAGGCAAGCCAGGAGACTCTTTCTTCTATAATTTCCTGGTGTGGAAGCTGTAACAATGGTTTGTCACACCAGTCAGGATAACCTTGACAACCAGTGCCCAGTCTCTTTGGCAATGCTAAAGATAAAATCATAAACTGGGACAAAGGGATGGGATGGAAGCAAAATAATATTGAGCATCAGTCAGTTGACAGATGGTAGAAGAATGTTTGGCTGCATTTAGACTGAGGACGTTTAGCCAAGAGGATGTGTGGTTCAGAAACAAAGAGGCCATCCTTTAAAAATGCGCCTATTTGATTGCACAATTTGCCTATTTGCTAGATTCCAGTCTTGCATTTCCAATCCAAACTGGATACCTTGACCTGCCTGTATGAGAAATGCTAGAAGCATTGGCCTCAGCAAGGAACTGCCACCATTAACAAGAGTATGTAATGGCAAAGCTGCCCTCCTTTACTGCTTTGGAGGGCTGAGAACTGGGCTGTATTGAGGAGCATCGTATTTTGGCCATTTCGCTCCAAGCCTTCCTTTTATGGGGACAGGATTGGGTCAGTCACAGAGTTTTGTGTCCTAGTAGAATACTAGAAATCCAGATGCATAAGGGCAATGGGTATTCTGCAATGGCTCAGCGAGCAGCTACCACACAAGCGCTTCTGGAGCAGCTCAGAGAAAATGAAGAGGCCCATAACGGCAGAGATAATGTTGCTGCTATGATTGCACTAGCAACCTGCCTGCTGTCTGAGGCCAGAACAGAACTAACATTCTTGAACTCAAATGTGTTCAGTGGACTGGAAGGATGTTTCTGGTGAGGTCATCATCCCTCTGGAAGACTTCACTTAAAGCCTCTGATTCTTGGCTTGGGTAATGCTCTGAGTCCTCTGCTTCCTTCTTGTCACTGTTTCGCACAGCAGCCTCAAGGGCCTTCTGCCTGCGGTAGAAGTGGGAGAACTTGTTGAAGATGATAGTGATGGGCAGCGCCACAACCAAAATCCCACCCAGGATGCAACCGGAGGCTGCCAGTTTGCCGGCCACCGTCACTGGCACAACATCTCCATAGCCTACGGTCGTCATGCTAACCGTCCCCCACCACCAGCAGGCAGGGATAGTGTCAAAACCAACGTCTTCTTCCTTTTCTGCAGTGTAGGCCACACCAGAGAAAACAGACACCCCGACAGCCAAGTACAGGAGAAGAATTCCCACTTCTCTGTAGCTGTGCTGAAAAGGAAAACAGAGAAAACATCACGGATGGGAACAGTGAGGCCTCAGAACCTACAACTGAGTGATTCTTGGAGTGAAGGGAAGTCACAGGCCCTCTTGGCTTCTCTACTCCATGAGAATCCGGTGGGCTCCTTTCCCCTCACTCACAGCAGGGACATTTCTGTTTCCATCACTTAGGAAAGTATGTGGCAAATGCCATGAATCCATCTAGGGTGGACCTGCACATTGCCTCAATTTATGTCTAGTCCTGCATTTGTTACGGTGTCAAAAGTACCATCAGCCAGTTTACACTGGTCACACCACTGGCCTGTTTAGACTACTGCTGCTAACACAAGGAATGCTGAACCTTTTCCAGTGCAAGGGCTTTTTGGAAGAAGCTCTTGGAGACCCACCTTCCAGGAGGGCCAAAAATCCAGCACATTTTAGCTTAAAATGCTTCTCAGCCATAGCCGAGCTTTAGGATGGGGCATTCCAACCTTGTAGAATTCCAGGAAAAACCTACAAAAACCAGGAAACCACCACATAATTGGGAGTTGAGGGAAAGCAGGTAGGACCAGCAGCACAGCAATTTGGGGAACCCCAGAGGGCCAGCTGGGCACCCTCGGGGGGCAGAAATTGTCCCCCAAATGTGATGCTCCCTGGTTCACACAGACTGGTAGTAGCTCTACAGGGTAGTCTCTCTGGGGTACTTCCTAACTCTGCATGGGGATGGACCTGGGGCCTTTTGCACACAAATTACATGTCCCTTCACTAGCCAATTCCTTTCTTCCAAAGGTGGAAAGATTTACAAAGCGTGTGTGTGTGTGTGTTTAACCCTGAATCTGTGTATGCCTTGAAATGCTGCCCTGCTGCCCTTCCTGCATTTGTCCCCCACCTGCTGCCCCAGGTGGGTTTAGTTATAGTCTCAAGAGGTTGACTGGGAGGGAGCACGCACGCACGCACGCGCACACACACACACACACACACACAGAGTGAGATTAACAATGGCTGGAAAGGGATCTTTGGGGGAGAATCAGCACCTCTGCAGCTATTCTTCCCTGCCTATTCCCTTACACGCCTTGCTCTTCATTAGTTTTTTAAAATATATTTTCTTAACATAAACAGAATACAGAAAGAAGAAAAGTATGTGTATAAAGAAGTAAAATAACATAGAATAGAATAAAGTTGCCAAGGGATATTGTACAAGTACAACCAATTCCTTCAAGCCCACGAATTTCAAAGAGACTGAAAATATATATCTTTCTGTCATTCAGCACTCTATGGAAATTCAAAAATGGGTATTATTATTCTGTATAACAACAAATTTTCCAATTGCTTTGAATCAATTATAAATCCCCAACTACTTTTTAAAGAGCTGCCTTTTATGTCCCATTAATTGTACTGGGTATAATAGAATTTCCATTTGTCGTTAAATTACTCAACCGGTCTTCTATTTACATAATTAGTTGATTTTGCCATCACTGCATATTCTGCCAGCTTATTTTTCCATTCTTCAATTGTTGAGGATTCTGGTTATTTCCATTTAGAAGCAATTGTAATTCTTGCTGCAGTTGTCATATATTTAAATAACTCTGGCATATTCTTAGAAAAAGTCTCTGGCATTATATTCAAAAGCATATTCTTAGGGTTCATAGGAAACTTAGTTTTAAAGGTTTTTGTATCTCCGCATGTATCCATTTCCAAAATCTTGTAATTGTTTCACAAGTCTGCCACATGCAGGTAGAAGCTCTGCATTAGTGTTGAGGGAAATGCAATCTGTGTTCATTTCAGAGTGAGTAGCTCCATCCTGGTTCTGCCCTTCGGAGGGCTTTTCTTGCCCAGAAGGGATACTTGCCCAGAGACCACAGGAAGGCTCTCTTACTGCAATTAAGTAATTAGTGCTGCTCTTCACAGTGGTGGCATTTGACATTGTTCATTAAAGATCTTTCTTTTCTAGCTAAAGAATTGCACTGCTCAGACTCCGCACAATAAAACAAAGCACTCACATTTGTATTGCAGGAAACTTAATGCAAACTAAGTACAAATCGGTGACTTTCTGCTGCCATTCATGTTTGTAGTTATGGACAATGTTCTGAAGGCTGAAATCCTATACTCACTTACCTGGGAGTAATCTCCATTGAACTGAATGGGACTTGCTTCTGGGAAAGATTTAGACTCTAAGCCTTCAGGCTGGAACTGCCTTGTTTTACTGTTTGTAATGTGCTCTCAGAGATGTTTTTGGCTTAGGAACAAGATTAAAATGGCTTTAAACAAACAAAATACTCTTGCTCTGTACATTTCAATGACTTAACTGAGATTCACATTCTCCTGCTATTCCCAGGATTAGAGCCTTGAGCCCAGGAATAAGAAACCCGCCTGTTTCCTACTGTCACCAGCTTGATTTCTGCCAGTCCAGGGCCCAGGCGCCTTTGCAGATTAATACACTTCTTAGCAGCTCTCAGAGTATGAATCAAAATGCTTTGCTGACCAGCACCCTCTGGAACTAACACCAACTGAGCCGCGAGGATCAGGCGGCTGCAGCCGTCACATCCTCCGGGGCTTCTCTGACTCCCAGTGTTGCATCTGCGAAGGGCAAGGCCCGTGAGCAGCAGGAAACTGCCTGGTGCTGCCAGGCTGTTTGCAGGACAGAGCTGCTGCCCAGCTCCGGACTGGCACCACTGCCAGGCCAGGACGCTGAGCCAGGCCGTGCTTGTATTCAGCCAGAATGAATGCAGGCTTGGTGTCTGCAATGTTTGGCAGGGATCAGCTTGATTTCCAGGGGGTAAATAAAATTATGTCACTTGCCTCCTTTGTGCAGATTTTAAGGCAGGCACTGGAAAGAGCAGAGGGAGCGAACATTGCCTCAAGCTATGCCTTGTGTGACGGATGCCAACTCTGGCACAGGGAAAGTCAAGGCTGCTGAGACAGAGAACATTACATTATGCAGGAGGTTGAGTGGACAAGAGGCAAAGTGCCTCCTGCCACGGTCATCCTGAGACGGGCAAGGTGGGGACTGGCCAAACTGGTCCTTTGGGAAGGGACATAATGCAGAGGTTCCCAGGCTCAGTCCTCAGGTGGGGTTAGGAAAGAATCCTGCCTGAAACCCTGGAGAGCTGCTGCTGCCGCCATTCAGTGTAGACAATACTGTTATACATAGACTGAATGGCCTGGCTTAGTTCCTGCTGATTGTGTGGCTATATTGGTGTTAAAAGAGATAGGCAAATACCCAGTGCCAGTTCTCAAGACAGGGAGCCAGAGCTGATTGTTGCCAGTTTCAGGGCCAAAAAGAGAGGGCCACCAAGCTTCCTCTGCCTCCAGACAGGGCTCCTAAGCCTTTCACATGCAGAAATGTTCCTTGTTCTGGATGTGAAGGAAGCCTTGCCAGTTATCAGCCCTATCTTCCAGGGCAGCAAAAGACATTCTGGAATGGAAGTCCTGTTCCTTACAAAGTGGTCCATCTTCTGTCCTTCCTCTCGATCCACATTCCATCAGGCAGAAGCTCTTCTCAAATTACATGGGTGAGGAGGGTAGGCGCAACTTTGAGATGGAGGAAGCAAATGTGGGCTGAACGTCAAGTGGGGTTTCTCCTGGTGATCCATAACCACACCTACAAGCCCTTCACACCCCAAAGCTTTGGTCTTAACATGGCCCTGGACTTGTAAAAGGGCCAGTTTTTGAACACATGTAGGTATCTTGTCACCGCTAACATAAATTTACTTAGATGGTAGAACACTGGTACAATACTAAATAAGTACTGAGCATATGTGGGACTGAAAACGTGGGGCAAAGCAGTGGTGAGGTGGGATGGAAAAAACGGTTAAGAAAGGACTAAGAGGTGAGATAGGAGCCAGGAGTTTCTCAGTTCTTGCACACACTCTAAATAGCTATGTTATGCTGGTTCTGTATTAAGAACACAGCTGAGAAATACATGCAACTGCAGATGTCATGCACATCTAGATCCAATACAAGTTTGCTCAAGAACCTGGCCCCACTGAGTTCAGTGGTGCTTGCTCACAAATAAGGGGCAAGGCCATAGTCCAGGGGCAGAAGGCCCCTGGTTCAGTCCCCAGCAGCTCCATGTAGGGCTGCGAATCTCGGTGGAACCACCAGACTTGGTATATAGTTGCGTATCCGTGCATAGAATGGCAGCCTTTACAACAACTTCTTGGGAAGCCTGGGAGTTCACGTGTCTCCAGCTCCCCAGGCTGAATGCAAAGTCCTTTGTGACAGATCTTTGCACCACTCCTTCTAGCTGGGTGAGCAACCCCTGACTCACCACTTCATAAGGGATGCCTCTGCTCTGTAACTGTTTTGTGGCACTGCCCCAAGGCTTCGGCGAATGGGGCAGCATAGAAATGTTTTAATTAATAAATAAATAAAATAAAAGATCAAAACCAACTTACCGACTCCGACACTGACGGACCCAGGCCATTGTCAAAGGATGGCAAGTCCATGCACTGGTGCCATGGGTGCATGCTTTGCTCAGGCATGTCATGTGCGGGAATGGAAGTCCCCCATCACTACACAGTGGAAGGGGTGTGTGCTAATACAGGGTCACATGACGTGAGTAGCTCACACTCCATCAGGGCTGGTTATTTATAGGAAGGGCACAAGTGACAGACAGGAAGGGACAACAGCATAGTGACAGTCAGGCACAAAATGAAGCTGCCATACCGAGAGAGAGACAGCTTATGGAAGTGTAATCCAGCTATTCTTATGGAACAGCCCAAGAGGCTTTTTCTCTTCCACAAACAGAAAGTGTGATGATGCTGGAGGTTGGGAACTCCAGTGCTACAAGCCAGGGGAAGTGGTGGCACATGCAAAAGAACCGTTACACCAAGATCTCAACTTGCAATTTGCACTTGGGAATAATGAGTCCCGGGTTCCTGGATCAATAGTACATTTTCATCTTTTTTACAGCAGCTGTCACTTTTACTTCCAGCCTTTAACTCTGCTGGCTGCATTGTATGTTAGAGAGAGAGCAATAAGACAAAACATGCACAAAGCAATAATGAGAAATACTCATCTAAAGAAAGCAAAACTATGCAGATGGCATGCCAGAGAACCTTGGAAGAGCTGCTTGCCCCCATCCCTCAGTCCCCATGTTCCTACGTAACAATTGCCCAAGAGGCCAGTACTTCCAGGGTTGCTCCTTGATCTGCAGGAATTCAAGCCTTTGCCTTAACTCTCTACTCTACACCCTCAACTGAAATGATGAAGCTCGATTGTGTTTTATCTGCACTGATGCATATTCATTTGCAACATGTGCATGCTTTAGTATAAAATGTTCTCAGGTCAGGTAACACCAAGGAACAAAAACTCCACCCACACACAAAGCAGAGAAAATACAGCTAAAACAGTGACTAAAACCAACAGCAATTACTCTCTCACAGGGTAATGCCCAAGAAAAGAACAGGCAGAAGGACTTCCTTTGGTCTCTCCCGGATGTCTTCCCAGTTAGTGTCATTAGGTCTGCCTTCTCCAACCAGGTGCCTTCAAGATGCCCACAACTTACAAGATGTGCAGCCGACATCAGGCTCTGCCCACTACTCCTGAAGGGCTCTCAAACACTACTCTGCCCATGGGAACAAACAGGTACCAAAGATTATGGCAAAGGGAACATTTACTTTGCACTGGGAGGGAGACCTGGAACATGGGCATGACAGTACCACAGCATCAGGAGGGCCAGGGCTGTATCATCTTAGCCTGTCTTATGTCTCATGCATTTCAGTGGCTCTGCTCTAAGTAGGAATAGCATTGATACAACCCACATCCTGCTCTTTTTGAACCAGACCCACTGCAGAAAAGGTAGTGGCTTCCTTCACTGTTACTACTTCAGGTAAGCAGCCTAGAAAAGGAGACATCCTACAGTGGGTGGAGCAAACTATATAAGTCCTTGGCCAGGCGGAGATCACACGTTCTACTAGCCCTGTGCTTTGCAGACCTGTGGCAAGGGCTGAGTTGCCTCCATTGCTCACCCGTCAGCACCCTGCCTGCTCACCTCCTTCTACCCTCTGTCCAGGTTCCTTCAGTATCACATGGTGTGGAGATTTCCTTCTACTGCTGCTTCTCCAGGGGAAGAGCCTTCTTAAAGGGACACATGTATGTGTCAGTGTTGGTGCACATTGTCATAGTTTTCTTTTAGTTTTTAAAAATGTTGTTTTTTGGGAAACTGACAAGATTTTCTCCACCCTTGCCAGTGTCACTAGAGATTAGTAAGTGAAGAAAATGGCTGAGGGCCAGAAAGGGATGGAAGATAAACAGAGTTCCACAGTGTGACTGAACACATCAGAAGTCACACCTCCAAACTATGTCAGGCAGAAGTGCTAGTCAGGTCACACTTCGAAGCCTCAGCCTGCAGTTGCATTAGAAATGTTTAAATACGGTTATAATCAGTATCTGAAGAAACAAGCAACCACAGGGGAAAATATGGCAATGCAGCAGCTTGAGATAAACCTCAATTGGATTTTTTGGAATGAATAAGCGAATGTTTCTCATGGCGGGAGGGGGGTAGTTTAGAAGTATCCACAAGCTGCCCTTCCCTCTCTTTATTCTAATGCAAGGCCATTACAAAAGGTTGACACCTCATCTCCTTTCCACTTTTGGAGTCCTTTGGGAGCAACTAGGCCTTCAGTCCAAGTGGCAGCATCTCAGTGGCAGAGAATTCAGTGATCTGAAGTGAATTCTATTGATTAAAGCAGATGTAGGCAATCCGATGCCCTCTAAATATTTTGGATTACAACACCCTCATAATTCCTGACCATGGGACATGCTGGCTGGAGCTGAAGGGATCTGTAGTCCAAAACATATAGAGGGCACTAGGTTCTCAACTCCAGGATTAGAAAATGTCCACAGCATCTCTTGGAAGGAGTGTGCGTGTGCATATGAAACAGAGGAACATAGAAATACGGCATCACAGAACAGCAGAGTTGGAAGGGTCCTATAAGACCATCAAGTCCAACTCATATTAAGCATTACTTCTCCCCAGGCAACCTGCTTCATACTTTCCCTATGGTCTTTATGACTCATTTCTCTGACAGTGTTGTGAGTGCCCACAATGAGAGGTAAATTATGATGAGCATTATTCTGCAATTCATGCACAAGAATCTAAACCAGAGGCAACAAGCAAGATGCTCATCATGCGTGCTTCCTTAATCAACATTTCAGCTGTGCTGAAAGAAAGTGGGGTGCCAGAGTGTGGGCTACATCAGCCTTCCCCAACCTGATGCCCTCTATATGGCTCAGACTACAACTCCCTGAAGCCACAGCCATTGTGGCCAAGGGTTGGGGTGATGAGACTTGCAGTCCAAAACAATGAGCACCAGGCTGGGTGGACTAGGAGATGCAAAGCCAACATTTTCAACCAACTGTCCACCTGCTGAAAGCTCGTAGACTGATCCTGGCAGCCCCTTTCAGCATCAACCCATCCGGTCCTTCAGGTGTGCTAAATACACTATACTGACGTGCGCCTTATATCCCTTAGTCCTGTGCTTGGCAAGGGCTCTTTCAGACCACTGAGCCAGAAGGATTCAAGCCCTCTTCTTCCAGACTGAGTCTTTCCTGGCCTCATTTATCATTATAAACCCAGGCCCTTTAAGAAGACAAAAGCAGTCAGGCAAGCTTCAATCCCCCAGACATTCTCTGCACTACAGGAGATCCCTCATCTCTGTCACTCCCTCGGCCGGCCAGCCGGCCAGTCAGTCATGTGCACACATTCAGCTGGCCCTGCAACTGCTTCTGGTGTCAAATGAATGCCAGTGTTTGCAGGTCAGCCTTAGGCTGGTTGGCAGCAGTCTTGCAAATAAATCAGCTACAGCCAGCCAGGCAGAAAAAATATCCTAAGTTAGAGGAACTATCCTTGAAATTTCAAGAGGCTTAAGGGGTTTTTTTTCTAATTCTCTTTCAGCACTGATGATTAGGACAGTGTACACAGTGTTTCCCTTGCCCAAATCCGCATTTTAGGTTAAAAAACCCAGGAACTGTGAAGATAAAGAGCAAGATCGTGAAAAGTGACACTTGAATATGCAGTACTTGGATGTTTCACAGAATCTGGAAGCACCTGCCAGTTAGTTTCTGGGAAGAATAACTTCAGGGAGGAGGCACATAGGAGAACTCTGCGGAAGCTCAGCTTGTGCGTGGATTGCCCTTATAGCACGTTCCACATTCTGCCCACAGTAACCCACCTTCTGTGCCAAGAAAAGGTTAGAAATGCCATAAGGTCAAGTCACAGCTATACTTTACAGGACTGGAAACAGTGAGATGCTACTCTTTATCCTCTTCCTTCTTTTAGTGTATGGTCCTCAGTCCCTGAAAATAGGTAGCTTTGAAGTGCAGAGAGAATGGAAAGGGCTGTGTCACCAGAAAGAGCAAAGCCAAGTTTGAGGAAAATGGGAATGGTGAAGGTGGGTGGGTGGATGATACCGGTAGGAATAGAATATACTACAACACTTTCTCCAACTCAGTGCCCCTCTGGATGTGTTGGATTACATCTCTCAGCATTCTCAGCCAGTATGGCTCGTTGGGGACATGCTAGGAGCTGTAGTCCAGTATGTCTGAAGAGCACTAAGTTGGAGAAGGTGCACTGCAGTTGGCTGCACTGCAGCAACATCAGATGACTAGATCCACTTGGTAGAGAATTTTGGGACTCCAACTCACTTGAGTTCTTCCCCTGTATTATAGTAGTCTAGCTTGAAAAGGGAACAAGGACTAGTTTCCATTGCATGTGAATCGGATACAAAACCTTCCCACTAAATTAAGTTTGTGAGAAGTGCTTCTGGCTATTTTCAAAATGTCATGAGCATTCCAAGTCTGAGAACCTGGGATACAAAAGGAGGCTGAAAGGTCACTGATTCCAGGCTTACCTTCAAGGTAGCTCCTAAAGATCTCAAGCCCGTCGAATGCCTTGCCAACTTCAGCACCCGGAATATCCTCATGAGACGAAACACTTGCACCACCTTGCCCAGGTTCCCCAACTCCGAGTCACTCCTCATGGTCATGTCCACCAGAAGGGTGACATAGAAAGGTAAGACCGACACAATATCAATCAAATTCAGAGGATGCTTGAAGAACTTATTCAGGTTTGGAGCCAGCAGCAGGCGGGCAGTCACTTCAAAGGTGAACCAGGAGATGCAAAAGTACTCCAGGTTTTGCAACACAGAGTCATCCTTCAGCCTGCCCTCCTCATCGAACTCCTGGTACTCTGGCATGCTGTGGATGCACATAATGGCAATGGAAACCAGCACAACACTAATCGAGACAAAGCTGAAGAGCTTGCTTGGGATGGAATAGCCTGGGTTCTCCATGGTGAGCCACAGGCGCTTGCGCAGATTGCCACAGCGCAGGGTGCTGTAGTGGAGCAGGTCATGATTGAAATCCAGAATCTCATCAGGGGAGGTGTCCACACTGCTGACCTCACTCTCTTCATCCCAGTTGCGGTGGCGGCTCTCCAGTTTTCGCTCATGGTAGCGGTAGCTGCAGCATGAGTCCAAGAAGAACTCATTAATCCCCCAGTATTCTATCTCCTGGCAAAAGGAGAAGACACACAGCTCCTCCATCACATGCAGCTTGCCGGTCTGGTAGAAATGAAGCACATACAGGAAGAAGCCTGGGTTCCGGTCAAAGTAAAACTCCCGAGCACTCACATCATAGTCATCGCATAGCTGCAGGATGGACTCCTCAGAGTCACAGGAGAGCAAGCGCCCAAGCCGAGTGTCGGGGAACTTGGAAAGTGCACTCGAGCTAAGTCTTCTTCTCAGGCCCCCAACATTGATGTTGATGACCTCATCCTCAAAATTGGGATCCCAATAGTTTAAGGTCTTGTTGACCATGATCAGTAGAGCTGGGGCTGATGTGACCAGCAGACAACAAGCAGCCAGACTAGGAGAGAGAGAAACAAAGATATTTCATTCAACACATTTAATATCTGTTGGAGAAAAGCAGTAACCAAAAGCATCCAAAGGCAATATTTTGCTTGCAAGTCACATAACTGGTTGGAATATCTAACCTTCATTTGATATACCCATTTGTCTTGTTAATTAGTCCTCTGGCTAAGAATGGTCATGCACCACCACCTACTACAGAATTAAGAAAGAACCCCTGATATGCTCTCTAATTAGTGGAACTTTAATGGGGGGGGGAGCTACACATTCATGCTAACATCAATGGCTGTTTTTTACCTAGAAAAAGCAGATTTGGAAGGTGCAATTGTCAGAGGAGAAAGGGGTGAGATTCCTTAATATGTCTGCCTGCCTGGAATCAATCCCCCCACTTGTTTGTGAGAAAGCACACACCTGAAACTCTACAAGGGAGGAAAGCTCGTGTGTGCCTGAGACTGCAGCAGGAAAAGTCATGGGGGGTGATATGCACCCGCACCCTTCTCCCCTTTCTCCCCGGAGCTGCCAAGCATCAATCCCGGCCTTTGTCTAATCCAGTGGTGTTTGGCTTTGTTTTCTGTTACCAGCTGACCCCTCCCATTGCAAACGAAATGGTTTCAGAAACTTTTCTACATCCATCTCCCATCCTCAGTTCTGTCTGCTGCGTGGGGGAAGTGGTGATGCTTAAGAAAGACTCAGGCTCTGCATTCAAAATAGAAGCTCCCAAGTTGAGCAAAATTCAAGCCATTTTGTCAACGAAATTGGTGGCAAAACCCCACACAACAGGCTCAGGATGACTCACCCGCTACTTCAGCGGCAACCCAGGATCACCACACACCATTCACCGCACTGAACAATCCCTCCAGATGGCACTTTGTGCAGTTGATGGTAGCAGGGAAGAACATTTTCCTTCCGTGGTGCCACCCCTCTTGCACAGTCGTTGAAAGAACTATAAATCAGTCAGACTGAGCGCAAGATGAGTACCACCTGTGGGACAGTCAGTCTTCCACTCAATTTGGGTCAGGTTCGGGCTTCGGAGAGGGTGAATTGAACCTAGTCCTGAATGGGGTTGCACTCCCTCTTAGGGACAAGGTCCACAGCCTGGGAGTGCTCCTCGACCCAGAGCTTTCATTGGAAGCTCAGGTGACAGCAGTGGCGAGGAGCACTTTCCTTCAGCTTCGGCTGATCCATCAGCTGCGCCCCTACCTGGAGTACGACTGCCTGGCGACAGTGACACACGCGCTGGTGACTTCCTGCCTTGACTTCTGTAATGCGCTCTACGTGGGGCTACCCTTGAAGACGGTCCGGATACTTCAATTGGTTCAAAATAGAGCTGCCAGGCTGCAGACGGGGACTGGGCGTTATGGTCACATGACTCCAGTCCTCCATCAGCTTCACTGGCTTCCCATTGAAGTCCGGGCCCAATTCAAGGTGTTGGTGATGCCCTATAAAGCCCTAAACGGCTTGGGTCCTGGTCACCTGAAGAGCGCTTACATCCATATATGCCCGCCCGCCCCTTGAGATCTGCGGGAGAGGCCCTTCTCCGGGAACCCTCCGTGAAAGAAATTAGGAGCGTAGGTACTTGGAGAAGGGCTTTCTCTGCGGTGGCACCCAATCTATGGAATGCGCTCCCCAGAGAGGTCCACCTGGCACCGTCGTTATTTGTTTTTCGGCGCCAGGCAAAGACCTTTTTATTTAAACGTCATTTTAATTGTTAATATTATTTGCTTATTTTATCTGGCCAGGGCGACTTATTTTATATTGTTATTTTATATTGTTAATTTGTTGTATATTTGGATGTATTATATTTTAATTTTATGTTATGAGCCGCCCCGAGGCTTTGGCGAATGGGGCAGCATAGAAATGTTTTAAATAAATAAAATAAATAAATAAATAAAAAGAAAGAAAGGAAGAGTCCTTTGCTGGCTGATGTAGTTGTCCATCATCATCCTAAGGACAATCCTGATGCATCGAAACAAAAGTAAATTGTGCTGGTCCATATGAAACACACACACACACACCATGGTCAAAGTTTTCAAACTGGCATTGGTTATACTTACTGTAATATACTCAAAATGCCGGGGGAACATTTGAGACCCCCATATCTTTTTATTGGTTCAGGTGGGGAGGCAAGGATAAGGGGAGAAAGAGCTGAGTTGATGATAAAATCATGAAGTCTGCAAAGAGTCCTGGACTTAAATAGATATCAGTCTCTTCTAGGTGCCATGCAGGTTTCAGGTTACACCTGGGACTGTTAGGACTAACAGAATGGCTGATTCTTCTAAGTCTCCTAGGTGCAATCTGAAACGTGCAGGGCACCTAGTAGAGATCAGTATCTATTTAGGTCTACAACTCATCCCGCACTGACTAGCTGTAGGGCCTTCATGACTGTGACATCATTCCCCCCACCCTCCGCCCTCCTCCTCCCCTCCACACCACCTGTGTTTTCTGTAATATCTTGCCTAAGAGGCTTTTCTATCATTCTGTGTATATTTGGTTGGTCCTAGTAAAGGTATTATCTGGCTGTGGAGTTTGGACTGATTCATCAAGGGATCAGATAGTACGAGAAAAGAAGCCAAAAGTGGACCTGTACACTTTTATTTATTTGGGGGATTTCTAACCTGCTTTTGCCAGGTGTGTAAAACTTTCAAAAGTGGGTAACAATCAGACAAAATACATTAAACTGTAACAAAATTATTAACTCATAAAAACTGCAGGTTAAATCAATAAAAAGGTGAAAGGGTACAAAATATTGCATGCAATCCAAGATTCTATAAAACTACAGGATTAAAACCATCCATCATAAAAACCAAGCAATCATTGTCCAATAAAAGCTATTACTAAAATACTCTCAAAAAGTTTTTGGAAGGCAAAACATAACTTCAGAAATGAAATAATAAAATAAAATGACCGGGCAAGCAAAGAACCTCTGAGCCTGGCGCCTAAAAGTGAGCCATCAGGCATTTCCTAAGTCTGAAAGCAACCGCCCTCTGCAAGCACAGTGATCTGTGTGAGGGGCAACATATCTGCGTGTGTCAGCTCCGTCCCCAGCCTTCCTGGAGACACAGGACTGAACCTCCACACAATCCCAAATGCTGCTTTATCGGGCTTCTCAAATGCACTGAGACATCTCCTCACATCCAGGAGCCCCCTTCAGAGCAGATCTCAGCAGGAGAAGAGCAGGAATGAGAGCATGGAGCCGGCACACTGGCAATGGGGAGGTACGCATGGCTTCATGCCTCTTTTGCATTGCTGTATCTTGTTCAGGCACAGACTGTGCATAGGACTAAAGAAAGCCCTCCATCCCCAAAGCCATTCCCTGCCAAATTCAGACAAGAAAAGGCAGTCCTCCAGTTACTTCAAGGCTTCCCAAGATTATGCCAAGTGGTATATAAAGTTATTGTATTGGATTCTGTCACATATGCATAAGCCCATCCATCAAATATATATATATCAGAAAGTGCAATTCCCAAAAAACTTGGACCAGAAAAGCCATTTGGTCTCCGAAGACCTATGCTCTTCTCTTTCAACTGTGGGAGAGAAGCATGCCCATGAAAGAACAAAGAAGCAAAACCTAAAAACAATAAAAATCAATAAATACTGTTAGTGTCCTCAATTAATTACCGGAAAGATTTTACTAGACTTTGGGATTGCTCCCAATTTTATACATTCTGTGAGTTCAAGAGTATCTGTTTCTCTCAAAGTGGTGCTTGTTCTATATTGTGTTCACAGCAAGGCTACAAGCTCTACAGGGGACTTGTCCATGGAACCCCACAGAAGCAGTGGGGAGAGCAACCATAGTGCAGAGATAGAGCTTTGGAGGTAGAAGGGTGCAAGTTGAATTGTTTGCATCTCAACAGAATAATGTAGCAGGTGATGGAAAAGACCTCTGTTAGACAACCACAGACAATGCAGGGAAAACAGTCTACAGCTTCTAATGTTGCCACTCAGGTATCCTGTTTCCAGGTGACTAGAAGCTCATAGTCCTGCTCTCTAACCAATAGAAGTGCCAAATTGCTAAGAGGTGTGGCCTGCAGCTTTTTAACTAGGAAAAGAAGGCAGGTGGGAGTTCTTTTAGCAGTTCTTTTAGCGCAGGAGAAGGCTCTGCTTTTTCCCTTAGTCAGGCATTTGCACTGTGAGCATATCCCAAGTGCCTCCTCAAAAAAGAGGTATAAAATCCAGCTAAGGCAATGCTGCCACTCTCTAGCTGGGCCAAGGGTCTGTCACACAAACAGAACTTTTCTACACAAGGTGGTTAATCCATTGGATCTGCTTTCAGTTCTGTCACCAAACCGAGATTTGAGCATTACATGAGGAGCATTTCCTTTCCTGATTTTCCACCACATGACACTTTCTTTCTCTTTCAAATTCAAATGATGGAATTTACCTTCAGTCTCTATTAGAACAAACAAACAAACAAACAAAAAACCTTGCCTAAAGTACTGGTTAGACTGGAGGGTCACGACATGATGGGTGACTTAAATGCTGAGAGCTGCCCAGACAGCTTTGGCTACAGGAGATAATAGCAGCAGCAGCTACAGCAGCATTGCCTAAAGAACCTGTAAATGACTGTGAGCAGGGGGTGTCAGGTACCTGATAAATGCTTTCTTTGAGTAGGAAAGTTCACAACTGTGTGCTGTAGTGGTTAAGAGCACTGCACAGGGACTCAGGAACTCTGGGTTCTAGTCTAGTCCCCACTCAGCCATATAGCCAACTGGGTGACTTTGGGCCAGTTAAAGACCCTCAGACCAACCTACCTCAAAGGGTCATTGTTGTGAGGGTAAGATTAAAAGGAAGAGGAGGAGAATATAAGTCACCTTGAGTTTCCTGAAAGGGACAAAAGGCAGGATATAAATATATTAAATAAATAAGTAAAATAATAAGACTGGGACCTATACCGAGATGCTTACAAAGGTTTTTCCTGCTCAGGATCCACACCTTCCTCCAGGAAAAACAGCTGGAAAGAGTTCAAAAGTGCAATTTGTACCCCACCCTTCAGAGTCT